TCTCATCTGCTCACCGACTCACCCTCTCAGCTCATTCAGTGCCATGTGTAATTGCCTTAATAAATGTTCTCGGGAGCCTAGGGCGTGCCCAGCACTAGGGCAGCGGCATCAGAACAGACTGTCTCCATCCACCCCATTTCTGAGAGCGCCTCACTCTCCACACGAGGCAGGGTCCCTGTTCCCCCTCTTGTGTCTCCTGCACAGACTCACTCTGCCCTTCCTGTGCCCCCCTTTGATCTCCTCTTCCCCCTTCCCTCTCCCACTCTTCTGCCCTCATACCTTCCAGCCCACAGTGGACCCAAAGCTTTGAATTCTGAGCACTTCAGTCTGTGTTGTTAGAGTGAGAAATTGTGCATTTTTTTGAGTTTTTTTTTCTTTGTTTGTTTGTTTGGTTTTTGGCCAGGGCTGGATTTGAACCCACCACCTCTGGCATATGGGGCCAGTGCTCTACTCCTTTGAGCCACAGCACTGCCCACGAGAAATTGTGCGTTTTTAATGTTGGAAACCTGAATGTCATCTCCTGCTATTTTGTCCTCAGTTTTCATCTGTGGTCACGTTTGGCAATCTGGTCTCTACTATCCCTGAAACTCACTCTCCAGGCAGATTAATCTAGTAACGTAAGAGAAATGAAGACTGGCTGATACTGGTAAGGGCCGTGCACTGTAACATGCAGAGACGTGCTGGAGAGTGGCTGTGGGCAGCAGTGTGTGGGGGCAGTTTTAGGGCCAGTGGGGAGGGCCTCTCTGGGCTGAGATATGAGGGAAGGCAGGAGCCAGCCTAGTGAGGATGGAGAGGAGCTCACTGGGTCACAGGGGGCTGGGATGGCCAAGGGAGTAGGCAAGGCAGAGAGATGGGACAAGACAGGCAGGTGGGACCAGGTCCCCAGGGCTTTACTATGAGGTGAGGGTGTGGGGCTACATGCAGTGCGATGGAGTCAGTGGAGAGTACAGACAGAGGGTGCAGCCCAATTTGGACATCTGAAAGCCTGAGGAGGGCAAGGGGGATGACAGGAGCCCCAGCAGGTATTCACGTTGTCTAGGCAGGAGGTGATGACAGCAGCTGGGTCTGCAGTAGCCGTGACTGGGTACTAGCATTGGAGGCAGAGTTATCATGAATCAGACGTGGAGGCCAAAGGAAGGGGACTCAAGTGTGGTTCTTTCTTAGGCTCTAGAACGAGGCAGGTGGATGCAGCACCTGGCATGAGGTGGGGAAGCTGTGGGAGGAGGAGGACCCGAAGAATCCAGAGTGCTGTCCTGGCTGCATTTAATTAGAGACATTAACCAAACATCTGAGTGGAGGTGTCGGGTCTGGGCAAGGTCAGGGTTACAGGCATAGTAAGATTGGAAGTCCTTGGCATGCAGACGGGATTCTAAACCACGGATGAGTAAGATTGATCAAGGAAATTATGAGATAGGGCAGAGAACCCAGACCAAGTTTCCAACACTCGGAGGTCTGAACTGAAGAGACAACTGAACAAAGAGCCTAAGAGCATGGCCCAGGTGGACCGTGGTGGGAGGGAGAATGATGGAGAACCAGGAGCACGGCCCATGTGGACCATGGTGGGAGGATGACTGATGGAGAACCAGGAGTGTGGCCCAGGTGGACCATGGTGGGAGGGAGACTGATGGAGAATTAGGAGTGTGGCCCAGGTGGACCATGGTGGGAGGACGACTGATGGAGAATTAGGAGTGTGGCCCAGGTGGACCATGGTGGGAGGGAGGCAGATGGAGAATTAGGAGCGTGGTCCAGGTGGACCATGGTGGGAGGGAGATGGTGGGAGGGAGACTGATGGAGAACTAGGAGTGTGGCCCTGGTGGACCGTGGTGGGAGGGTGAACGAGGGAGAACTAGAAGTGTGGTCCAGGTGGACCGTGGTGGGAGGATGACTGATGGAGAACTAGGAGTGTGGTCCAGGTGGACTGTGGTGGGAGGGAGGCAGATGGAGAATTAGGAGCGTGGTCCAGGTGGACCGTGGTGGGAGGACGACTGAGGGAGAACTAGGAGTGTGGTCCAGGTGGATGGTGGCAGGAAGGAGTCTAGAGAGGATTGTGAGGAAGGGAGGGATCCAGAAGACAGGGTGGACAGCTGAGTTGACACTGCTGTGGAAGTACAGGGAGAATGGAGAAGTGACCGTGGCTTCTGGGTGTGCCAGCGTTGTTGACCTTCACAGGAGCAGTCCCCACCCAGCCTGGAGACAGGGCACAGGTGGAGCTGACTGAGTGACCTTGTGCCTTTAGGAGTGGCGGGTGGGAAGCAGCTTAGCTGTTCTTTTTGAAACGTGATATTCTATAAACCACAGTTCTGATGCATTAGATCTGCTCCACTTTCTTCCTTTTCTCTTTTCTGGCAGGGTTCTGCTCTGTTGGTCAGGCTGGACTGCACTGTCATCATCATACTTCACTGCAGCCTTCATCTCTGGCCTCAAGTGATCCTCCTGCCTCAGCCTCCCATGTAACTGGGACCATAAGTGTCTGCCACCCCGCCCAGCTAATTTTTCTATTTTTAGTAGGGACGGGGTCTCTCACTATGTTGTTCAGGCTGGTCTCCAACACCTGGCCTCAAAAGATCCTCCTGTCTCAACCTCTCAAAGTGCTGCAATTACAGGCAGAGTCACCATGCCTGGCCTGGAAGCACCATATAGATATTTATTGTTTCCTTTTTTGAAAGAACTGTGATGAAATATGTATAATTCAAGTCTGTAATAGAATAACTCAGCTACTGAAAATATGATGTTCCCTCTCACTTTGCCTTCAGCTGCCTTGTTTCCTTAAAAATTATTTGTTATTAGAAGTTGTAGCATAATACACATAACAAGTTTACCATTTTAGTCAGTTTTTAGTTTGTGGTTCAGTGGCATTAATTACATTTACATTGTTGAGCAACCTTCTCCACCATCTCTAGCACTTTCTCATCTTCTCAAACTAAAACTCTGTCCCCATGAAACACTGGGTCTCCACCCACTCCCCAGACTCTAGCAAAGGCCTTTCTACTTTCCTTCTGTATGTTGACTGTCGAGGGAGTTCACACAAATGGAATCACACAGTATTTGTCCCTTTGCTACAGAGCATGTCTTTGAAGTTCATTCATGCTGTAGCATGTCTCAGGATTTTCCTCCTCTTTAGGCTAAATGATATTCCATTTTCTGCAGATGTTACATTTTATTCATCCATTGATGGACACGTGTGTTGCTCCCACCTTTTGGCTATAGCAAGTAATGCTGCCTTGAATGTCAGTGTACATTCCACTTCCCTTATAGACTTAGCACACTTTTGTCTATTTCTGTACTTGACTTTGAATAGATAGAAAATTTCCATTTATGATGTATTGTTTTGTGCTATACTCAGATCTGATTGTGTATACCCTATGAGTACAGCGACTTGCTGAATTTGTAATAATAACTACTAATAGTGAGAACTTTTGATTGTCTGAGTTTGTGGCAAACTTGCCTGACTATTAATAAGAAGTGGCACTAACTTCCTATAGAGATATTAGCATTCAAACGGCTCTCTCTCCTGGGCAGGTGATGTTACCTACTTCAGCCATCAATAAGACGTCCCAAATGAACTGAGGACCTGTGTTCAACACAGGCTGGAGGGCATCTCCAGTTGCACTATGTTCCAGATCTTCCAAAGATAGGAGCAGTCTCTCTCTCCCTCCCCATCCCCCGGAAGCTTGGTTCCTTCTTCCTACCTATGGTCCTGTCTCCGTCGGGGTCCACCTCCTGAGCCATGCTCAGTGCCTCTGTGGTGGCGATGTCCACGTTACAGGGGACCACCACCAAGTTGATGGTCTGCTGCTTCTGGATGTACTTCTTGATGAGAGCCTTGATCTGATGGCAAAGAATCGCACAAAGAAACAGCACACCTCTTACCTCTGGTCATCCGAGATGACCCCAGAGAGCAGGCATGATAGCAGAGGAGCAATGTTGCCCCAGAGCATGACCTTGCGGTTTGCCTGGCCCATGCCCTTCCTTAAAATCTATCTCCAGCTGCCCTGCCCTGTTCTCTGTTGCCCTCCTACTTATCCTTCGAAGCTCATCACTGGCCTGTTTTCTTTCCTGAAGACACTAATTCCTGCAGACAGGTGCAGCCCCTCCTTCCTCTCTCGATCTTGTTTGAAATGCCTGAGATTCTGCCTTTCATTAGAATGATTTTTGCACATGTAGCTGCCCCAGAAGCCCAGAAATGCCTTTGTGGCCGGCGGTGACATTTTATTTATCCCAGTGTCCTCATGCACAGTGCGGCACAGTGCCCCAAGCAGCAGGTGCTCAGGAGAGCAATGCCTGCTCACCACAGGCACCAGGGTTCTCAAGGAGCTGATGCCAATCACATCTTCACACATGTTTATTCCTAACACTAATGACTTTTTGCCTGCTATTTGTTCTTAAAGGAGCCTGGCTCATTCAAATTAGAGAAATTCAATCAATTTCTTAGACTCTGTAGACAAAAAGTAGATGTGGGCAACATAAGCCTTAAAATATTAGTTTTTTATATTACTTTTTGCCCCACAGACAATGCAAACAAACAAACATAGAAAAGGCCGGCACCTTGGGACATATTTTCTTATATTTTGGGACAACTTTCACACAGTTGAGCTCAGACAATGTCATATACAGTTATTTTAAGTTGCAAACAGAAGATAATTCTGCTTAGCTGAAAAGAGAAATTCTGTATCACATTACCACAAACTAGCAACACATAAGAAATTTAGTGCTGGAGTCAAATAAAGTTGACAAATACAACCAGGTCCAATTAAGCCTTGGCCATGAGAAGATGTGCCTGGGTAAAGTTATCAGCAACTTTTATAAGCAAGCTTTAATGTGAATCTTCTAATTGTGCCCTTTCCCCCTGCTACACCCATGTGGCTGTCCCACTGATGTCTGCATGTGAACAGGGTACACACTCCAGCGCTCTCTACTTTGGTATTATTGACAATTTGGATGGACACTTCTTTGTTGTGGGTGCTGTTCTGGGCACTGTAAGATGTTGGGCAACCTCCCTGGGCTCTGCCTACTGGATGCCAGTAGTATCCAAACTAGTATCAAACCTCACCTGCTATCTGAGTTGTAACAACCAAAAATATCCCCAGATATTCCCAATGTCCCTGCAGGTAAAATAGCTGTGGTCTGGGTATCACTGTATTGAATATGCACTCATTTATACGTACTTGTATCGGATCTTGGGGAGTGATAACTGCTCCTCAGAACAGCTTGTCTAGAGAGGGAGCATCATGAGGAACATAGTCTATTCATGTGACAATCAGTTACCAGGTGCCCACCAGGTGCTGGGCCCATTCTGGGAGCTGGAGATTCAGCATTGAACATATAGGCAACATCCCTCTGGGCTTTCCATCCCAGTAGGGGATGTCATACTGGCATACAAAAATCTCAATGTGGAGACACAATAAGGAGGCTAAATGGAAGTGGGAGGGCCAAGCTTGGGGTATGGTATGCCAGGGAAGGCAGAGCTGATAAGGTGGCATTTGAGCAGAAACCTGAAGGAAATATGGGAATTTTCCATGCGGAAATCCAGGCAGGCAGAGCACTGGAGGCAGGAGGAAGAGCTCCCACCCATCAGGGCACACTGGCAGGCACGCCCCCAGGCTGGCCAAGCTTCTGTCTATCCATTTGTGTTCCCAATCCCAAGACCTATGGTACATAGCAACAGCAGCATTTAGAGACAAATTTATAGCAAAAAGTGACCACAACAAAAAACTAGAAAGATTTCAAATAAACAACTTAATGATACATCAAAGAACTAGAAAAGCAAGAATAACGCAAACCCAAATCTTAGTAGAAGAAAAGAAATAATATAGATTAGAGCAGAAATAAATGCAATCGAGACTAAAACAGAATACAAAAAGTCAATAAGACAAAACATTGTTTTTTTTAAAAAAAAGATAAACAAAATCAATAAACTTGTAGCCTGACAGCCAAAAAGAAGACTCAAGTAAATAAAATCAATAATGAGAAAGGAGACATCACAATGGATGCTACAGAAGTACAAAGAATCATTTGACACTATTGTGAACAGCTATATGCCAACAAATTCAAAATCCTAGAAGAAATGGATAAGTTTATGAAAACATACAACCTACAAAGATTATATATGTCCAGGAGTTTAGAAATAGGAAATCTGAACAGACCAATAGCAAGCAATGAGATTGACTCACTAATAAAAAGTCTCCCCCAAAATAAAAGTTCAGGACAACTGGCTTCACCACTGAATTCTATCAAATATTTAAAGAAGAATTATTACCAATTATTCTCAAACTATTTTTTAAAATGACAGTGGATAGAACTCTTCCTAACTCATTCTATGAGGTTAGCATAACCTTGATACCAAAAAACAGACGAGAATGCAACAATAACAAAAAAAGTACAGCACAGGCCAATATCCCTATGAACATAGATACAAAAGTCCTCAACAAAATACTAGGAAATTGAATCCAAGAGCATATCAAGAAGATAATGACCATGATCAAGTGAAATTTATCCCAGGGATATGAGAGTGGTTCAACATACACAAATAAATAAATGCAATACATCACAACAGAGTAAAAGACAAAAACCACAGAAAAAGCATTTCATAAAACTTGGTATTCCAGTATGATAAAAATGCTTGAGAAATTAGGCAGAAAAGGAAAGTATCTCAACAGAGTAAAGGCCATATATGACAAAGCCCTAGCTAGCATCATACATCAGAAGAAAGGAGCTGAAAGCTTGTCCCCTGGGAACTGGGATGAGACCAAGATGCCCACTCTCACCACTCTTATTCAACATAGCACCAGAAGTTTTAGCCAGAGCAATTAGGCAAGAGAAAGAAATAAAGGGCATCCAAATTGGAAAGAAGGAAGCCAAACAGTACCTGTTTGCATGTGACATGATCGTATATATAGACAAGCTTAAAGATTGATAAATTATGTAAATTTTTAGGATACAAGATTGTTGTACAAAAATCAATGGTGTTTCTATACATAAACTAGTTGAAAAAAAATCAAGACAGCAATCCTATTTACAATAACTACAAAAATAGCTAAAGCAATCCTGAGCAAAAAGAACAAAGCTGGAAGCATCACACTATCAGACTTCAACACATATTACAAAGCTGTATTAGACAAAACAGCATGGCATTGGCATAAAGTGGGTGCACTGACTGATGTAACAGAATAGAGAACCCAGAAATTCATCCATACTTCTACAGTCAACTGCTCTTTGGCAAAGGAGCTTTCACTGGGGAAAGCATAGTAACTTCAAGAAATGGTGCTGGGGAAACTGGATATCCACATGCAGAAGAATAAAACTAGACCATCACCTCTCACCTGCTACAAAAATCAACTCAAAAATAGATCAAAGACCTAAATGTGAGAACTGAAAGTACAAAACTACTAGAAGAAAACATGGAGAAGTGCTTCTAAATGTTTGTCTGGGAAAAGATTTTATGAATATGACTTCAAAAGCATAGGCAACAAAAGCAAAAATAAATAAATGGGATTAGATCAAACTACTAAGCAAAGCAAAAGAAATAATCAACACTGTGAAAAGGCAATGTACAGAATAGGAGAAGATATTTGCAAACTGTTCATCCAACAGGGGATTAATATCTAGAATATACAAGAAGCTCAAATATCTCAACAGCAAAAAAACAAAACAATTGGATTTAAAAAATGGGCAAATGATCTAGACTGACATATCTTAAAAGAAGACATACATATGGCCAATGAATATGTGAAACAATGTTCAGAATCACCAATCATCAGGGATATGCCAATCAAAGCCACAGTGAGGTATGAAAGGAATATCTCACTCCAGTTAGAATGGCTATTATAAAAAAAAAAAAAAAGCAGACAGGGTGGCGCCTGTAGCTCAAAGGAGTAGGACGCTGGCCCCATATGCCAGAGGTGGTGGGTTCAAACCCAGCCCCTGCCAAAAACTGAAAAAAAAAAAAAGGGATTGTTTGTTCTTTTCATATTGATTAGTTTGAGTTCTCTGTGGATTCTAGTTATCAGACCTTTGTTGGAAAAATAACCTGTGAAAATCTTCTCCCATTCTGAAGGTTGTCTGT